CCTGGCAGCAGTAGTCCTGGTCCAAAGGAACGTTTCCCTCTCCCATCCAAACATTCCATCAACATCAACACAATAATGCTCGCTTCCCTTTCCTGGCGGGCTCTGTCTCCAGTCACTGCTGTCAATTACGACCGACTTGGCCCCTAATCTACTTTCTCTGCGGCCTGATCACATTACATTTCACATGGTGCCATCATGGAGGAGAGCATGGGGAGGTGGCAGCTGTAGTGGTGGATGAGGGGGGTGTCCGGTGGGCCTGACAAATATAGGACGTGGACTTGATGTCATACTGGACTTGCCAATGGAAGACCTGTTGCCCTTCTCATTGTCATGAATGTTTACCACACCGGAAATACAGACTTGTAAGAATGACATGTATCACCTGTACAGTGTACCTCTCCATTAGTGGCGATCATGTGTCTTGTGATTGGTCCAGTCCAATCCAAAATTAGCTGGGCTTCTGCGACCTTAATGAGGATAAGTGTAAAAGAAAGGGGATGGAAGGATATTAACATGGCACGTTTCACTGTCTGACCAATTGATAAACTATCATACTGTGTATACTCATGCTTATTTCTCTCCCCTTACCTTTAGAAGACGTGATAAAGCCTCTGATTGTGTATTTGTCACCATTGCATGCATCCCTACAGCGGTAATCATCCAGTTTATGGATGGATGGATGGATGGATGAATGACGGACGGACTGACGGATGGACAGACAGTTAGGTGGACGGATGATTACGGATAGGTAGACAGTTGGGTCGCGGAAGGATGACTGACTGTATGATGTATAATTGGATGGATGGTGAGTGGATGAATGGCTGCTCAGATGATTGGCTGGATGGACGGATGGCAGGATGTGTGCAGCACACAGCCCACGTCATTTGTAACACCGTGGGTGGCAGATTCGGCAACGCTTGTGCGATATTCTTCAATCTTTTGTCCAACACATCCTGAAATAGAAAAAAAAGAGGAAGTATTGTGCTTACTTCAAGTGGTAATCTGCAACATCCACTGTGTGTGTCTGTGTGTGTGTGTGTGTGTGTGTGTGTGTGTGTGTGTGTGTGCGCGTGTGCGCGTGTGTGTGTGTGTGTGTGTTTGGATTGAACTCCACACGGAACAAACACACACTTAATAGCAGAAGGGTAGCGCCACAGGCGAGCTCTTGGCTGCGGTAATCCGCAAGCTAACATTTCAAATCCGCGATGGGAGACAAAAGATTTCAAGATGCTAGAAACAATAAAGGCGATGTTAACCTGTGAAATAGGCCACTTGGAATACTTGGAAATGCAAACTTTTTTTTTTTAATAAAGTGGGTCCAAAACAGGTATAATGTGCCCTCTTTTTCATATGATTACATTTACTTGTATTTACAAAAGTTTTTCACATCCAGTATATATAAAACACATCTTAATCTCTTAAATAATGGAAATATTTTTACAAGGAACATTTGAACACTGTTCAAGTGGTTTCACGGTGTGGTTTCAAAATAGGTTTTCAAGACAGGGTTCGAGTTTCGCAATAGTGCTACGATCAGATAACGACAAACGCCATGAAAGGCTAACAAACTGGCACCAGTATAACATGATTATCTATCGAACTCTATTAGCTAAATTGCAACCATCTTTGTTGCTCATCAACCAATCTCCATGTATTATACTGTGGCCCCCTGGTGGGCAAGCTGTGAACATCAGAGGGGGCAGCACAATGTCCATTGAATCGAAACAATCACATTCTAATTAAGGAGGATATTCTGGGATGTTTTTGTCAATTACAATAATTTAGAGTGCTTTTTTTAATGAAGTTATGTTTCAAGAAATCAGAGTATCTTTTGGTGAGATAAAAGGGACTAATAACATTTCCATGTATTTTAACGGGGAAAGATTATTTGATTTATGATCGCTTTGCTTTGAATATAAGTTATATCTCAACGTGATTCCTGAAACTGCCATTGCATTGCATCCGATTAACAAGTAAAGCTTAATTGTCTTGCTGTCTTGTCTCTGAAAATGAAATGTTTTAACTAGCAAACTACTGTACTGTATATATTAAATGACATCATATCCAAGTTGTCCAGACACTGAACTCAGCTCTGGGTCACTCATTTGCTAGTCCGATAATTAATTAAAAAGAGAGAGGGTGAAAAAAAAAACCCAACACTAATTTGACCATGGGCCGTGCAGTGCGTCGAGGCGGTGACGTCAGCAGTGACCTACTACGTCGACGTCTCAACCCTCCCCATCATCATTTCATTTCGTCCCCTTGGGGGGTCCGCAGGGGGCGAGCAGGTGTATAAAAGAGAGGACACATCACAACAGACAACACAACAACACAACAAGGGAAAGGACGACAGCGAGCAAACCAGGATTCCTGAGCGTTTAACGATACTTTCTTTCTTTCTTTCTACGGTACATGTAAGAATTTTTCCATCTTTTTTCCTAATTCCAGAATTTGGTTGCATGTTGCATATGACTGTAGGTTTTTTTTTTTTTTTTGTTCCAAACGTTTGCCCATTTTACGCACTAATTTAACATATCTTTAAACATAAAATATTTTATTTTGAAGTTGTTTTGGGATTGTGGTGACGTTAACTGTTGGACCGAACTCGAATGCGAACTCGACTCCGTGCGTAATTACGCATTGGTTTCGCCGTGTTTTCGCTCTTTTATTTTGAAGTTGTTTTGGGATTGTGCTGACGTTAACTGTTGGACCGAACTCGAATGCGAACTCGACTCCGTGCGTAATTACGCATTGGTTTCGTCGTGTTTTCGCTCTTTTTTTGTGCAATTGACCATCTATTAAGATGCTTTAACGCACAATATATTTATTGTCTTGTCTGGCCAAAAGGTATTTACCTCATTTTGTGTGCCACAAGTCGGCAGATAAAACAAAGCTGATTTAAAATCATCTTGTTTACCTTTGGTAATACGAGCGCTAGTGACGTTGGGAAGAAACGAGGAAAAAGAAGTAATATTCTCAAGCTAAAGGATATAAATTAAATTTATGTATTGCCTGTACTCTCATTTGTAATTCGTCCTACGTGTAACTGCGCATTAGTTTATATTTTCTCTCATTTTACAAAATTGTCCCTGCTTCAAAATGCGTTTTAAAAATAATTACCCATTGGCTGTTGTAAAGTCGTCAAAAAAACTGTGAATACGAAATCTGGATTGAAACAAAATGAAACTTTTTATGTGTGTTTTTATGTGTGATTGCTGGGTAGATTCATGTCCAAAATAATTAGATAAATGACCTTTGACATGTCATCCATTACTTTTATTTTTTTAAGAGAGATTACGGTTGAATGAGAGTGGCCATACAGGATTGTCTTTTTAGCCAAAAAAAAAGGAATGCTGGGACTTAAGATTTGGATCATGGGGGAATGAAGTTTCCCCTCTTCTCAGGTGTAAGGCGATGTCACAGCGGAGCGGCCCCCATCTTCTTCTCCTCTTTGCCCTCTTCAGTGTGCTCTACTCCAGGACTCTCAGTCTGCCCTACGCATCCATGAGGTTCGCACAACGGCACGATCATACAGTATTATATCTGTCTTATTTATATTTGCGGTCATTTCTATTTTCAAGTCATGACAAAGGTTAAAAAAAGAGAGTTGAAAGAGGCATTGTGATTCTGAGTGATGCTTAGCATTTGTTGATTGGATTATCTGCGGCATTTGATTTTAATGCACGGCAATGATTGTCTCTTGTAGACCGACGAGACACGCAGACGGTCTTTTCACCAGCGGCTACAGCAAACTTCTGGGCCAGCTCTCAGCCAGGAGATACTTGGAGTCTCTGATTGGGAAGCGAGTCAAGTAGGTGGATGCGTGTATAGGTATTGTGGAGAAAACATTGTCTTAAAGGTCTGAAAAGAGGGATAATAGTTTGAATAGGGTCAAGTTTAAGATCGGACTTGTTTTTCTGAACAATATGAGAAATGCAGTCAGATTTTTAAGAGTCCTACATGTAAATTGTTCAAATATAGTCAAGAACATATAAATCTATGTTGTTATGTGGTCAACAGCAAAAAAAAAAAGAAAAAAAACACCTGAGAATTGGAGGATGTCAGATCAAGTTTGGATTTTAAACTGAATTACAAAAGAAATGTGCTTATTTGAAAGTTGTCATATCCAATTGTGTCTGCACTTAAAGGCTGCAATCCACATATCGGCTGTTGTTATCCGACGTTAAAACCTATATCTCCAAATTTTGTGCGTTTTTTTTCCCCAAATCCATTTTTTTTGTATGTGTGTGCGTCCAGTGACATTTACAATGATAGGAGCTGACTTGCCTGATGATGCATATTGTTAAAGGTTAAGTGATGCCATGAGTGCTTGCTTGCACGTTGTTGCACAGCCAGCAGGGTTGGAAGACAAATAGGAGGAGGAGGAGGAGGAGGAGGAGGGCGGGAGGGATAATGGCTTATCACTAATGTCCTTTCTTGTCTTTCTTTGACTCGACCATGTCACCTGCATCCAGTGATGAGCTGATGGACGAGCCGGTCAAGCGTCACTCGGACGCCATCTTCACAGACAACTACAGCCGCTTCCGCAAACAGATGGCGGTCAAGAAGTACCTCAACTCGGTCTTAACGGGGAAGAGAAGGTAAGGAGATTGGAAGGGGGGGCAGCACACGTTATTGCACTTCCTGGTGAAGCATGCTTGGATAAATGTCTTGAAGGACTGTGGAACAAAAATCGCAGTTGAGCATCACTGACAATATCGTAAATTGGTTTCCTCATCTTGTGCGAGTTCCTCCAAACCAATAGGAGGCAGCAAACAAGGAAAAACTAACACAAGAGTATCTTCAAAAAAAACGTTACAGCATTCCAAAGGTCAAATTTTAAACGTCTCAAATTTTTTTAAGAATGCTTTTAACATAGACTTACTAGTTCAATTCCTTCTGTGTTCAAATTCAATAATTTCCAATGACTTCTGTGAGGATAGTTTCATGTTCTTTAAGAGGAAGCAACCCCAAAATGTTCTTTCCAAGAACATGTTTCATGCAGCCCCGCAAATCTAAACACAAATTAATATATTTTTGTCTACATCAAAGTGCGGCTATTTTGCCATTTGCTGTCGACTGAAAAAAAAAACACAACTCCAATCCGAACTGAACTTGTACCCACTCGTGTTCCTGTAGTCCTTAAAAAAGTTCAGCGACAACTCCACAAAATGGAGGCATGTAGTTGTTAGATAGCTTCGTGGAAAAAAATTGATCAGGAAAGTATTCCGAAGCAAACCCAACTGAATTGTACTCAGGCAGTGATTCTTCCACATACCACTAGAGGGAACCAGCACACCACAAGCGGTACCTCGCGTTGATAAATATTGCTGATTTTGATGACACATTTCTTTTTTCACCTTAAAAAACAGTTATGTTTTGTTTTTTTACCCATCAACAGTCTAGAAAATGCCGGGACGAGCGACCAGGAAGAGTCCAGGGACGACCCCGACACCTTCCACGAGAGCTACGACGACATCAACGTCGACCACTTGCTTAACAACTTCCAACTGGTATGTGACACACGACGCGTAAAACACGTGCCGCTTCTTCAAGACAACTGCCTTAACTGCCGTTTTTGCTAATCCAGCCGCTTTGAGGAGAGGTCCCGACGTCCGGAGTCATTGTGGTGAAAACATCCGTTCCAGCAACAACAACAACAAAACAACAGCATTCACCCAAAGATCCCAGCAAGGCTAACACACGTCCAGTGTGGTTCTTATCTAGTTTTCCATCACTTAACACATGTATTAAACCACCAAAAAGCAGTCAGTGTTAGCACAAAACCTTTAGGCTTCTGCCAAAAAAAAAAAAAGTCAGGTCTACTGGAACAGCTGAACTTTATTTAGGGTTAGTCAGAGGCATTTTAAATAGTGGCTCCCATTGAACTTAAATTTGAATGTGATCGGTTCATTCTGAAAACAGTCACAGTTATGAGGGTGTCCAAACTTGTGCAACCTTATGATCTCAGTTGTTTATTTTTACTTCCCCTTTTTGAAAAGGTAAATTCTCTTTCAAATTTCATTGTACAGGTTGTACGTCACATTACTGAGGGGAACATTTTTGAAATGTTTGAGCTCGGTCTCATTAATTTTAGATCACAAAAACTTGGCATTTGGATCGGGTTGTGTAGATTTTTTTCCATGTACTGCATTGATCAGTGACACAATACACAAACCTAAAAAAAAAATGATTTCAGTAATTCTCATTGCTGGGTGGTGGTCTAATGCATTTGTTAAGCACTGCACGTATGTTTACAGTTCTTACCTTTTATTTATACTTTTGCACATGAATATCAATGCAGAATTGGTCTCAAAATGTAATTCAAATAACAATTAAACATTTAATATCCATATAATTTTTTTTTTTCCCAACTGGACTTACATGAATTTTTTTTCAGGTTTTTATCACTAATAAATATCGACTGACACCTTGGCAATTATTTCCAATTTGGGCCAGTCCCATTTGTGCACTTTTGAACAAGAATGTGGCATTCACCAATGTATGTTTTGATTCTACAGGTATATCATACGGTAGAATTTGAAATACTACGATATCTTGAGTTTTAAGAATTCTTCAGAATACTTATTTCTGAACGATTTCTTCCAACATATTAGTCAATAATTTCGTTCACCTTACGAATGGGAACATTTTATCCATTCCCCCGATATCCAACCGGCTAAAAGACTGAGGCTGAGGAGACGGAAGAGAAGCAAAGTGTATTTTTTCCAATGGACCCCAGATGCATTTAATCACTTTCTACTACTGTACTCAACTTGTAGAGCAAACAGAATCCTAACTGTGCATGGAGCTGCCTATAGCGCATTCTAGTTGACGACAACGACCATGTACTAATGTATGTATGTATGTTTGTATGTGCGCCACTCACCAAATAAAAGATGTCCCTTTTATTTTTCAACGCTGAGTCCTTTGGTCTGCCTCTTTGTTTCACCCCGCCCCCCCCCCACATACACACACACAAAAAAAGGTACTGGGGGGAAAAAAGTGAATTTACCAGATAAATTGTCTGTGATATGATGAGGAGAAAGTCGTATCTTTTACAGGATAAAAGTTGTAATGTCATGCAAATAGTCTTCACATGAAGGGAAAAAGTAATAATAGTACAAATATAAACTGAATGTATATATTGTATAATGTACAAATATTAATATTGTTGACAAATATTACGAAAACGGAATTTCAACTTTGTTCCCTTTTTTTAACATACAAAGCAAAACAATATTTAAATAAAAGTTGTTATATTACAACAAATTCACGATTGTTTTGAAAAATGTTAATATTCATATATAGACTGCATATAAAATCATGAGAATAGTGCTTTAATCTTCATATTACAATAACACAATAAATCAGACACGGTCAAAAGTGGTACAAATGTGACAATAGCTCGATGTTTGCAGTATTTTCCTCCATCTATGACATCCAAATAAGGTCATGAAGACCAGCAAACGCTCCAGTTTCTGCAAGATGAGCTAAATT